CTCCGTGCCGTGGCTGATCAGATCCTGCAGAATGTGCACGAACGCGCGCTCCGGAATCACTCCGTGCGGAGACACGCGCCGGAACGTCTCCATCAGCCGGAAGAGCTGAGCCACGCGGAACCGCGAGCCCGTCTCGACCTCCTTCGTCACCGCTGGTTCCTCCTCCGAGACTCGCTTCACGAACACGTTCGACCGAACTACGAACCGGTCGCCGTCGAGGAGCATCTCCTTCTCCAAGTACTTCGCGTCCTCGATCGCGAAGCAGAACACGTTCACCATTTCGTTGACGCTCTTCATCTCGCGCCAGTACCTGCGCGTTTTCATCGCGAGATGAACCGGTCGTGAACACCGCGGTTGACCCTTTGACTACGGCAGACTTCGAGACGCACACCGAGAACGGCGAAGGTTTTCAGTATCAAGCGCCAGCAGTGGTCAAAGGGTTAACATTCACCTGTTCAAGATGTTGTCATAGATCCGATGGAAGGCGGTTTGCATCGTTTCCAGCAAGAACGCGAAATCGCCTCGCGCCGCGGCCTCTACCGACTCCAGTCTCCAGCGAACCCGACCGATCTCGTAGGCGAGCGCGTACCGGCGTTCCAGCGCGAGGTCCTGCTCGCGGCTGGAACCGATCGGCGAGACGCTCTTGCCTGCGACGCTCGCTGCGTGTTCCTCTTCCCGCCTCTGAACCGTCGCGGCGATATCGTCGACGAGGTTCCTCGCGAAGCGAACGTTCTTCGCGATCAGCTCGACGACGTCGATCTCGCCCGCGTCCTCGGGCGTTCTGCTCCTGTCCGTCAACAGATCTTCGACCTGCTGGCGGAGGAGGGCTCGGTCGAGCGCAGGAGGAACCTGCGCGGGAATCGCGACGGACGTTCTCGTCGACTGGGACTTGACCTCGGCTCGCTTCTCCTTTCGACCAGGTTTCCCGGCCGCAGTCGAGTCCGCGTCGACGTCGCTCGGCGTCCGATTCAGGATCACCTTAGGGACCCGCGCGTCCGACAGTCTGCCGGTCATCGCCGCGTAATAATCCAGGATCAGGTTGACCGTGTCGACGCACCGGTCCAGCTCCGCCTGAGCCACGCCGACGTAGACGTTGAAGAGGACCGTCGACTCGTAGACGGTCCACTCGTCGCCGATGAACCGCCTGCGCTCCTCCTCGGCCTCCTGCCTGCGCTTGTCGCAGAGGTCCCACAGGGTGCCCTGGAAGTCGGCCAGCCGACGGTGCAGCTCGCACTTGACGTCCTGGTCGTGCCGCGCGTCGTCGTCGATCTCGTTGAAGGCCAGGTGGAACTCGTTCAACAGGTCCTGCTTGTTGTCCGGCCTGGCGATGTACTCTACCGCGTTCTTCGCGAGGAACTCCGTGTACGGCACGACGCCCGACGCGTGCACGCTCTTCAGGAACAGCAGTTCCTTCAGGCTCTCCACGTACGCCTCCTCGACGCTATCCCAGAGGTTCGCCAGGAGTTTGGCCAAAGGAGACGGCAGGGGCAGGTCGATCCACTCCCAGTCCTCCTCGCCCGGTTTCGGAGGTTCTGCTTCAAACTCGTAGTCCTGCGCTTCCTCCGGTACAATTTCTTCCTCTTCCGGATCCGCGACTTCCTGGTCCTGCTCGGCGACCTCCGGCGACTCGGGCAACATGCGTCTGATCACCGGCGCCTTCGAGCCGGTGCTGCGAGCTCTGCCGCGCTCGTGGCTCCTCGGCGAGTCCCCGAACAACTCGACGGAGGACTTCCTCTGCGAGGACTCGCCGATCACGAGTCTCGCCAGTCTCTTCAGCGCGGTCTCGTTCAGGTCGTTGTAGTAGAGGAAGTAACCGATCTTCCTGGACGCGTAGAACTTATCCACGGAGGGGGAGTCTCGAGTCAGCTCCTCGCTCGAGCGATCCTGCATCTGAAAGTCGGCAGGCTTCCGCGCCACTCGGACGAACAGGCTGGCGAACGTGGGCGTCGGGATATCCTGGATGCGTCTGATCGGACACGGCACGAGTCTCGACTGTCTAAAGAGGAAGAACGTCAACGCAGGAATCTATCTGCATCGTCGGATCGGCTCGGATTAGCTTGGATTGCCTGTACGAGTCGACCGGTCGCCTCTGATCCTCGTAGACGATCCTCGGCGGGATCGACTGCACGTCCTCCACCGTGACGTCCTCGAAATCCAGCACTTCGGGGTCCGGCGGTATCTTGGAGCCAGTCAGCGCGGTCTCCAGCAGGGACATCTGCTCGTAGGTGTTCGGGTAGTCGATCAGCACCCAGCCGCTGGCGCCGCGCAGGTCCTTCAGGTACTCCACGAGGATCTTCGTCGCCAGCTCGTTCGTGATCGGCTGGCCCAGCGCGAGGAACTCGTAAGCCCATTTGCCTGAACACGCGAATCAGAAGACGATCCAATCCCCAAGACGGTCGAGCGGACCTACCGATGCACGCGGAATCGGTGAGCACCGGGTCCAGGTCCTCGTGCGGGATGTTCCTAGGAGTCTGCGTCTGCTTCTCCAAGGTGGTGGCTTCCTCCTCGCGGTGCCTGGACCCCGTAGACCAGCTCCGTCGTCGCGCGTGACTCTCCGCGGACTTGACCGACACGCTGCGCCGCTGCTGCGGGCAGGACATCCGGCGCTTGCCGCTCTCGAGCTCCTTCACGAACTCGGCGGTCGCGGAGAGCACCCTGGCGTCGATGTACTCCACGTCCAGCATCTCGTTCTTGTACCGCTCGAGGCAGTAGTTGATCGCGTCCTCCATCCGCACCAGCCGGATCCCGCTGTTGCCGAGCATCCGGCGGAGCGACTCCTGAGCCGCAGGGTTCGCCAGCCCGAGGACGATCGCGACGCCGTCGAACTTGACCGGCGGAGTCGGCGCGTCGCTGTCGACGGGGTGGACGTAATTCAGGAGACGATGCACCAGGCGGCCCAGCACCACGCGACCGAGACGCGTCGTTGTCGATTCCTCTGGGAGAATCTGGTCCCAGGGCGATCTCGCGCGGAGATAGTCCTCGAGGAGGGCTTCTCGCAGCAGCTCGATCTGCTGGAGCTTCACGCTGGACGCTTCCTCGACGGTCGTCTGGTCGATCCGCTCCTCCTCGCGCGACTGGGCGTCCAGAACGGCCTCGCCTCTCACGAACTTGTTGACCCACTCGCGGAGTATCCTCTGCGGCACGATCCCGGTGTTCAGCTGCTTGTAGTCCTCGATCTTGAGAGCCAGGTTCACTATCTCCTGCACCGTGTCGCGGCAGAGGTCCCTGTGCCGCTCCTCCAGCCTGCGCACCTTCTCCTCGGCCAGCCTGCGGCGCAGCTCGCACATCCTCTCGCACTCCAGCTCCTCGTCCAGCTGCTCCTTCGCCGCCTGGTCCTTCCTCCGCTCGATGCTCGCGAGGTGCTCCACCTCGTTCGCCTTCTCCGTCATGTCCTCGAGGATCCTCTGGTTCTCGAGCATCCGGCTCCTCTGCTCGCGCACCTCGCACAGCTTCGTCATCATCTGCTTCTCGTACCTGGACTGGTCGAGCGTCCGTCGCGCGATCGCCTCGTCGAGCCGGTCCTCCTGGTCGGCCGCGATGCGCTCCCAGAGCTGGTGCATCAACGCCTTCTGCATCTTCGTCTTCAGCGCGGAGACGGTCGCCGCACGCTTGCCGCGACATTTCAACCACTCCACGTAGGTCCTCGCCATCTCCGGGTCCTCCGCGACCGAAACGAACTCGTTTCCCGAATGTTCCTCGCGCTGGTCCTCCGTCTTTCTCGACTTCGACGCGGTCCTGCGAGCGAACCGGTCCGCGTCCGCGCTCTCTTGCATCCTCCTGCGGTCCTCGGACTTCGATCTCTGCGACGACGCGTCCACCGGAAGAGTCGAGAGGACAGGAGGGGAAAGAAAGATCGCGAATACCTCGGAAACGATGTGCTCGATGGGCCGAACGACGGGGTACGGTTCCCAAGCGGGCACTTCCAGCATCTGTCTCTCTCGTTTCAGCTTCCGGAGGATCGCCGGGAACTTGGAACGGTGCCAGCCGACGACGGTCGTCTTCCCCTGGAGCAGCTTCTTCGAGCGAGGATGCTCCGGCGGCTCGTACGCCGGAGGATCCTCGCTGACCGTGCTCACGTCGAATTTTCGCGACGCCGGCACGAACCTTTCCCTCTCCTTTTGCAGCGTGATGAAGTGCAACCTGTTACGTCGCGATAAAAGCACGCATCTTTCGTATAATTACTTAAGAACTCAATCCTTTGATTTGTTCTCTAACGCATCTTAATCTCTACTCTCGTCTCTTATCAACGAGAACAGAACAATTTAACAGTAAATCAACCTGAGAGTATCCGAAAATCTTATAAAAATGATCGAAATTCAACGCGAGAAAGTAATGCGAACACCTGTCCCTAGTCTCCAAGCACAGGTACACCTTGTAGAAGAGGCGCAGCGACGCGGTGCCGTTCCCGCAGGAGATCTCCTCGACACTCTCTTGGTCGCACTCGATCCCCAAGAACCGCAGCCAGAACCTCAGGTGTTTCAGGTTCACCCTGCACAGCGCCGGGTCGTGGGTCGCCATTATGGTGTGCAACTGGTCGCGGCTTATTATGTCGTAACTGTGCAGGATCTGCGCCAGCAGTCGGCCGTCTTTCGTGTAGTGCCCGAACACTTTGGGCCCGAGGTCGATCACGATGCCCAGCCTGGCTCGGATCCAACTTTGCAAGATGTCGCCCATCGCGGACCCCCTGCTGCGCAGGGGTTCGCCGGCGTCCCCAGCTTCCTCCAGGTTTCGAAATCCGATTAAAGGAAAATGCCGGGTCTCGTCGTCGAGACCCTTCGGAAACTTCGCGTGAAGTTGTCGACCTGTCGATTCGGAATGGACGTTCGAGAGCATGAATGTTCGCGTCGTTTGGAGAACCTAGAGACTAGCGGCGAGAAGCGTGTACCGTTTACTGTCAGTAGGCTGTATCTTTCTAATTATGATTGGAATTGACAATTCGACAAAGTTCGAGAACGAGATGGGCGATCTAGCGAGGATCGAGGACAAAGTGCCGCGTTAAATAAACATGCAATAGAGGAAATATCAATTTCGTCAATCTGGATCTTACTTTCTCGAACGTAGTACTAGTGGACTGTCGATATTGCTGATTCGGAATAAGCCCAAACAAGATGTAGACTAGTTTGATCGGTTCCGACATTTCGAGATTGAAATTTTCATAGTTGAAGCACTAAATAGCAAATGATTCAGTTACTCAAACAGGAAAGAGTTTGATACGCAGTTCCCTTTATTTTCATTATGTAAGCAACACGTAATTTAGCTTCATCTGCTAGAGGTTTTGTTACTTCACAGAATCTCCGGGTTAGTATTATTAATTACACTAAATCGATGAAACTAATTCGATTTGCATCGTGTTTAGACTCGTTTTATTCACAGGAACCTCAACAACCCCTACGTTCGAAGAACAAAGATCGAAATGCAGGTCTCTTACATTGCCTCATTGCCCTTCAGCTCATAGAGCAAGTGAAAGGATACCTATAAACGGTACTCGTTCCCTTCCCGCTCGGATTCATCGGGAACGCGTGAGAGGTGGTCGTCGCAGGGCCTATCTACGGGTGCAGGGGGTACGGAGAAAGAAAATGGTGGTTTCTCAGTTCTGTTTTATTCACTTTTAACCAACAGCAACGCTCGAGCATCGGTTCGAGTCGGCTCGGCTCGGTTCTGTCGATAAACAACGACAGGGACGATCGTTTATGGGCAGAACGTCGAAGAAGCGCCGGTGACGAGAATCCTTTCGAGCAGGTTTTCTGGCCGAAGGTTTCGATTCGTTCGGTCGCGTCGCGGCGTTTTCCATTGTAGCCGTTAACGGTGATCGCTGCGACGAAAGCAGGAGCCTCGCACGGCGAACGAAGGGGGATCGACGGATTCCGTCGCGAGATTCCGTCGCGAGATTCCGTCGCGAGATTCCGTGCACTCGACAGACCCGTGGTGTGTGTGTTTCGTTCGTACTAGCTATATGAATCGCGAAACGCGATTCGAAAGAATCGCCTTCAGAAGACTTAGGAACCCCTTGTCAGTGTCTAGATCTAATTGTTAAGATTCGTGCTACGCGCCCACGGCCGGCTCGCGCGCGTTGGACCGCGGCGGACGATACAACGCTTCGGTTCGCTCGTACAAATACACTCGCTCACCCTTTTTCGCTCCCTCCTCTCTCCACCTCGCATTCGCTGCCCGCGGAATATCTCGCGTCGCGTTGCGACACTATCAACGATTGTAGCTCTGCTGATAATCAGAATGATAATAGCGGTAATGGTAATAATGGTAATAATAGTAATAATGACAACCGAGGGGTACGCACAGAATAGCAGACGCTGAAAATAGTGCTGTTATTCAACGACAATGAAAAATAATGGTAACAGTTAATGATGGCAATAATAAAAATCACCGTTCCTCATTGCCAACGTGATCTTCGTCGTATCTGATGTATTTATAATATTTATACCGTGGTGTGGATCATACCGCTACATCGTATCGTCGTGATAATATAATTACATTATTCGTTCGTATTTCATCCACGCAACATAATCGTTCGTTAGCGTCGTCGACGTCGTCGTTGTCATGATAATCGTCGTAGTCGTCGTCGTCGTCGTTAATTGTCGCAGTAGCAAGAAAGAAAATGAGAATCACGCGAGACGCCATTTGCTCTCGGTGTTTGGTGTAACCGTTACGACGATCGATAATCTCGTTATTGTTGTTTTCTTGAATTATATGTACAGAAGAGGTATATACTCGATAATATTAATGCATTAATATTTATAATAATTTACGTGTACGCTCCGCGTGATCACTCTGGCCGTGATTTTCCCGTATCCGGTCTCCTCCTCGCTCCGAATCGTTCTTTTTCTTCCGCTCGACGCGACACGACGCGACACACGACACGACACGACTCGGCACGACTCGGCACGACTCGGCTCGACTCGGCTCGAGTCCTCGCTCCGCGCTGACAATCGATAATTAGTCCGCGATCGATCCGTCTCGATCGGTTGCACTCTCGGATCCGCGCGTCGTCCGCGTTCGCTCGCGGGAGAGATCGACGACGAGAAAAGGATCGGGCCCCTGTAACATACAAAACGAATCCGTTGAACTCTCCCGCGCGACTCGAATGCTCGCCGACGCTTCCCGGCCGAACCGAACACCTTCGGGGAACGTTTTATTGCTGCGATCGGTCGATCACGACTCCGAGAGTTTCTCGCGGAGCACCGGGAACGCGGGAAACGTAGGGGACGGGCGGGGGAACCACGAAAAGAAGGTATACAGAGAGAGAGACGCGCAACACAGGACACGGAATGGGAAAGCATCGGCGATCGTCGAGCATCGTCGTCCAACGCCTTGTCCTCGGCGGGAAGCGAAAAGGTTTCGCGGTCCGAGCGAAAGCTGTCTCTTCACGCTCGTCTGACGTCGCGCCGCATCGGGCATCTCTAGGACTACCAATATCTATCTAATACGAAGGAACGGGCTCGATAAATCTACCTAGAAATCTATACTCTAACGTTTTCTCATCTACGTCTACTATGCGT